CATGCGTGTCCTTCTGCTTTGCCAAGCTATTGTACCGCGCAGCCGACCATGTGTCGCGTCATGTATGTTTGCGTTCCGTTAGAACGCATCCCAAGGGAAACCTGGTTTCCCATTTGCCCGACCGGTTGTATGTATAATGGCTGGCTGTACAGGACGTAATAATCATAATTTTCAGTGCCCTCATCTGATGAATTCGACATTTGGAGTTGAGATGTGCAACATTATTTTATTTATATTAGCCAACCACAGTGTCCCAAAGTGGATAACCGCATACCATATGTGGCAAGCCACCCCTTTCATACTTGCGCCACAGGTGCCACTGTCCTCAAGGCTGCCTTCCCTCGTATTTGCTTCCGTTCACCATCCCACTCATGGACAGTCCGTCAAGACGGCGTACCTTTGAACATCCTAAACCCGAAACTGGTCTCGCAGAGTGGACGAGCAGAATCAAAGCGTTACAACAAGAAGTCGATGCCGACGAGGAGGCGGAGCAAAGACGCCTCGAGGAGGAGATCAGGGCTTCGCGTTTAGCACGAAGTAGACGCAGTACTGGGATGCACGCAGAGTCGGATCTTTGTGAGTTCCACGCACAGCGAATAGTGCACACGCAAGATACAGCATACTCATTTCCTCGCACGTATCAAAGCTAGCAGTCCAATTGGACATTTGGCCGAAGATACGAACCCACCCATCGGCGGTGTCGACGAAAGAGAAACATTCCATGCTAATGCCTTGCGCAGGCTAACGAGCGATCCGAGTCAAACCCCTGAAAGGTCTGCATTTAGCCGAACAGCTCCTCAATCATCGTTAGGTTCCACGTCTGCCAAAGCAATGGGAGCACAGAAACCAGAGCCTGTCTCGCTAGCTGCATTCATCGGTGGACGAGCAACCGGTCCGCGACTGAACCGACACAATCCGCAACAGGATGCACATGATCCAACACAATTTGAGCAGCGGACACGCATCGATGCACCACATCCGATATTCGGACGCGGTGGTGTTGCGATGCCTGGATTGGCGACAAAGGGCCGAATTCCTGCCCCCTTAAGGCGTGATCCCGTAGAAAATGCTCCACGGACGACCCCGTTAAATCAGGAGACGAAAAGCGCATCAGCGGAGCTTCCGCGCGAGAGGCCTGCAGTGCAGTCTCAGGTGAATGTTGTCAAAGAGAACGTGTCACCGGAATGGAGCCCGGACCAGCAGCGAGTTCGCGGTACTCCATCAGTGTCCACCCAGCCTCAGCATACAGCGCAGTCGACCACGCCTGACTCATTTCGTACGGAGTACTCAGATGATTTGCGACCACGGCAGCAACAACCAACGACACCTAATAAGACTTTGGGGTCGGAAGGCAAGAACCCCACAGCGCCTTCCAGCTCTCCTATCACGACACCATCACTTGCCCGTCCACAGCAGCCTCAGCAACGGCCCTCCCCCACTGGACTGCAAATTTCCACCTCTGCAAATCCAAGTCCTGCATTTCTTCGCCCACCTGCGCAGAAGGACCCGACGCCCAGCCTGAGCCGCCTTCAAGGCCGCGGCTTTGTCCAAAGTCGTGTTAAATTAAGCGGCGAATTGCAAGCAGCGGCGACGGGCACTCAGAGTCCTGACCGCCCTAGTAGTGGTGGGAGGAAGGCGAGTGTCCTCGATCGATGGCAGCCGGGTGTGACAGCATCACCGCCGCAATCAGGTTTACCTTCTCCATCGCCAGTTCGAAGGTCGAAGACAGTCGATCCAAGTGATGAACATTCGTCTGTCTCAACGAACGCCGCTCCAAGCGAGGAGAAGGTAAAATCCCTCAAATCCGTCGCGTCCTTACCGCAGATCTCGCAGACTGGGCGAATGTCAGGCGACAAATCAGTACCAGCACCGCACTGGGAAGATGAACCTCCGCTCATTAACACACCTAAACCTATCACACAGCGGCCACCACATGTTCTTAATCGGCCTAATTCTTGGAGTAATAAGGTGCCCTCCACATCTCAACCACGGCCATCCTCCATGGAGGTACAGGCAACACGGAATGTGCAGGACGCAGGGCTGACCAGGTCATCCGTCAATCCTTCAGGTCTGGGGTCATCAACCACCCTTATCTCATACATTAAGCCTTCGAAAACTGGTGACAATTCTCCACCTCCTAAGCCTAGGACGGCGGCTGCAGCAGGTGGAGTGAATGAACTCGGCGTCCGAACGCGAAATGATCGGGATTTGCATGAGGATACCGTACTAAGGGCAAAGCCGGGAGCGCCTGCTGGGCGACCACTGAGCCATGTGCGTTTTTTTGGTAATAGATCCGAATTAGATCGTTATTAATGCAGTTTTGATTAATGGACATTATCCTATCTGTTTCGTGGCCCGGGTCATTACAACAGCTAACAAAAGACAGAGCAAAACCACCACGCAGGAGTGGGAATTCAACGGCGAGCACTCACCACCACGCTGAAGAACCATCGAGACTCGTCATAACGCCTGAAATTGAACCTGACCCAGGTGTTACGTCAATACCGCTGCCTTTGGTTTCAGAAGCGTCCCGGACCTTCGACTTCCCAGTTAATCCTTCCAATTCTTTGCCCATTTCGAGTTTGCGGCAGACTGAAGACGTTTCGTCTCACAACGTCACAGGTCCAAACGTTCGTCAGCTCAGAGATAGTTGGGCAGACCAAGTTCCGATAGGCATTAAACCTGTGGTGAAGCCTTCAGTAACTCACACAACGTCGAAACCAGCGTCCACAGCCGCGAGTTCAAAGCTTGCTCTCCCAGGACTTGCGTCCCCATCACCCCCAATCACACCGCCACTGACCGTAAAAGAGGAACCGAAGTCGCCCGCAGTGAGCCCCACGCGTCATACACGCATTCCTAGCACGGGATCGCGCCTGACGGTGATGGACGTGGCGCAAGCCCTCTCAGAGCACTCGCGACAATTTTCTCAACCATCCAGCTCTCCCACAGCCTTGGAATCTCAAGGCGCAGAAGATGATGGAGTGGAGTACGGCAGGGATGATCTCAACACACAAACAGCGAGCTGGAGCCGAACAGTTACGCCCGCTAGTGTGCAGGCGGAGCGCAGACGGTCAACATATGAGAAATATTCGGCCATCATTATGCCTCCGCTGAAGGAGGAGAAGACCCCGGCACAGACGCCAGTAGCAACACTGTCAAAGAGTGCTAGCGCTAACACTTCCCAGAAAGAATCAGACATCTTGAACGCCGCTTCGCAACCGTTGGGAAGCACGGACAGGCGCAACACTGAAACATACATAGGTATGTATGAACCGGTATTGTCACAGTGTACTTAAATAAGTTTATTAAACCCATCAACTAGATCACGATGATAAACCTCTTCCTTCCTTCGACATCAAGACGATATGCGATAACGAGCCGACGAATTTCGCACCTAACCCTGACCTGCACACGGTGTCAGTGGAGGTAATAAATGTTGTTGGAAGTGCAGCGACAACCATTTCGGATAATGCACACATATTTTATGACGGAGAGATTCTTGCTATCGTTCATAGGGCGAAATCCAGGTCACTCGGTCTCGTGACAACAAATGTGTGGAGTTGGCGTGGATTGAAAAGCCAAGCTGGTGTGCAGGAGGAGCGCAGGCTCCAAGAGCTTGCGAAGCGTTTTAATTCGAATTTGGTACGCTTTGTCTCTAGTTTGTCTTTCTGTTGGGATCTCACAGCTGCGCAGCAAACGTGCGATCAATACAATGAACCACAGGAGCTGTTGCACTTGTTGGGCGGAACGCTTATCATTCGACAGGTTGAGCCAATGGCTACGCCAACTTCCTTGGTGCTAACTCATCTTCTCAGGGCACAAGATCACTGTGGTCTGCGGAAAACACCACGATGCATGTCATACGCTCCTGGCGAAGGTTCACAGTCATTGAAGAAATCGATTTGGTCAGTTGTATTTGGCTTTGTTCAACGTTCATTGACCTGGTCAAGCAGAATGTTCGCAATTTATGCTCCGGATTCAGCTATTGCATTTCAATTCTCAATACACTGCGTGTATGGCATGGGCGGGGTTCAATTGATGCCGAGCGCCAAGCTGCCAATGCATACGCGCAAACGCTGACCGGAAATGACAAAGATGTCCAACAGGTTGAGGAAGGTCAAGAGGATGAAATGTTTTGGATGTTTTTAGGAAAGGATGGCTACGCTAGTGCGGATCATTGGAAATGGAAACGTGATCGTGGAATGGGAGACACCGATCCGCGCATTTGGATAATTAATTCTGGTGATGGGGAACTGAAGGTTACGCTGTTTCATTGTGTTATCTTAAAGGCTAATTTGGCGGTGTTTTTCAGGTCCGCGAGATCGACACGTTTCGCTTTAATGATGATTCGATACATTTAATAAGTCTCGCGTACGAGACTTTTGTACTAGTTGGATCGAAGGCTAGAGGTAGTCGCACCAATATTCGGCTAGCTCTCGCAGTTGCACAAGTGTGTTGTCATCCTGACTGACTGACAGAAATCTTGATCCTTTTCCACAGGCACTTTCCTCACACATGTCAAAGTTGAGACCATTCGAATCCCCGGTGCACGTCATTATCCTTCCATCGCAATTGCCGCTCGACTTATGTGCCGCGGTGCGTGGCTTGAAGGAGGATACGTTGGTCAGTCCCTTATCATCCAACTTGCCACAACTTTTCTCTGAATTTATCATAGAATTCGACGGCCATTCCTCAGCACATGAACATCTTGACATTGCAGACCGCCATTGAACATGTAAACCTTATGTTGATTGACGCTTCAAGCATTTTCTGACCAGTCCTTAGCTGGATACGAGAAACTGGAAATCTGCTGACCTTCAAGACGAAAACATGCTCCCGCTGGGCGTACATCCAACATCACTGGAGTTTGACATTTAACTGGTATTACATAGTAATGAGGTCCCGATAATCCAACCTTCGAAAATGTAGAATAACAATGACCACATGTATTGGATGTAATGTCGAACCGTCATATTGGACTTCTGCACTAATTTTATATTGCATCAATGGGGTAGTGGTAACCTGGGTCGTTGCCATCGACCCGCCGCGAGTTCGATTCTCGCTTGATGCATTTAAATTTTTTGTTTGATGCATTTAAATATTTTGCTGGATAGTTTGGCTTGTCACGTGCATCGTGCTAAATTTTCGCCACCACTGCCACGAAGTTTTCCGTTAGTTCACTGATTCTACCATAAAGCTTGTCTCTGGTCATTGTAATCGTTACATCGGCATTTGTACTCTTACCATCGCCATATCAGCATTCTTTCTTGTCTCTAGAGCTCAGTTTTGGTTATAGACCTCATGTCCCCTGTTACGATGCCCACACCATCCGACTCTCCCTTCGCGCCTATAATCGATGCCTTACGGTCTGCTCCTACCGCACCTGGTACGTCGACCGACCATTCCATTTTGTATTCTTTTGAATGTACTCGGAAAGATGCCAAGGCCGCAGCAGACAAACTCGCTCGTGAAGTGCTGAAAGCTGGATTGGGTTGCTTAACGTGTGTGCTTAGTTTTGCATGATCCGGGGGGTTTATTGATCACCCAACACAGCGACTTCAAGATCCTAGACATCCTTCATGATTTCGCGACAAACAAGAAATCTGGCTATGAACGCGAATCAGCCGCCATCGGATTTCAGTATCTCGCATCAATAATTGGAACTCCTAGTGCACCAATCTTACTTTCGTCATTGCCGTTGCTCATGGAACTGTACATGGATAAAGGCGAAGTTGTTCGATCTGCAGCGACGGCTGCAACGAAAACAATATTAAAACTGTGCCCACCTCAATCCGCTCGACTCGTCTTTCGCAATCTCGAAGATATTTTGGAAAACGGAAAATGGAGAACCAAGGTTGGCGCCTTGGACGCATTGCGAAGTTTCGTTGATCGAGCTCGGGATCAAGTCGCCTCAGAACTTGGTACTGTATTGCCTAAAGTGGAGAAGGCGATGCACGACACAAAGCAAGAGGCACGTTTTCTCTTAGAGTCAATTTGTCCTGTAACCGATCGATTTCAAGGTGTCATCAGCCGCGATCAAATGCGCAACTTCATTATGCACAACTGTGGCTAATCCTGATTTAAATCCTCACATCCCGGTGCTCGTCAAGTGCATGTCTGATCCAGACTCTGTGGCTGCTTGCATCAAGGCCCTTTCCTCAACGACGTTCGTCGCAGAAGTGACATCACCCGCGTTGGCCGTCCTCGTCCCGCTCCTCATGCGTGCCCTGAACGACCGAAGCATGGAGGTACAGCGTCGAACTGTGGTCGTGGTGGACAATCTCGTCAAGCTCGTCCGAGATCCGAATGTTGCTGCTATTCACTTGGGAGGACTAGTGGACCCCGTTGAGAAGATCATGAAGGGAGCGTCTTTCCCCGAGGTGAGCCCATTCAAGTGCCAGTATTTTGCTTGGTTTACGCAGTTAGCAAGGTAAGGGCATTTGCGGAAGCGGCGTACAAGACACTTTTGAAGGCGGGAGCGTCATCTACTGTCACACCCCCACAAAGGGACGTCGCTGGCGAAACAGCATTAGCATTCTCGGATCTCGTACAGCTCCTTCCCCGTCAGCTCGTTATCGCGTCGTATACGTCGCACGACCTATCAGGTCCTCTACATCCGATTCTTTCCGGAAGTTTGGAATTTCAAGGGGGCCTTGTAGCAGACCTTGTCCATCTCAACAAATATGACGATAAGGAACTCTGGCAGCAGTGTGTTGGTGCTTTTATGGGACCATGGCTTCCAGGAGGCGCCGCGGAAGCAACGGCATTCGCGGGAGCCGTCCGGTCACACTTTTACAACATTTACAAGGCGAAGACGGCGCCAGTAATGAATGGCTCGGACGAAGAGGGTGAAGTCTTATGCGACACACTTTTCTCACTCGCGTATGGCGCTTTGCTCCTACTTTCACACACGACCCTTCGACTCATCCGAGGCCGTCGATATGGTATTCTTGGGCCGAATGGCTCAGGGAAATCGACTTTGATGCGCCAGCTACGTGATGCAAAAGTAGAAAACTTTCCTCCAGCAGACCAACTACGATGTGTAATGGTGGAACATTCGCTTCAGGGTGAAGACACTTCGTTGCCTGTTATTGACTTTGTCGCCTCTGGTTGGTGTATACCGTGTGTTTCGTCCCAAGCCTGTATTTTGATTATTTTGCATTCTTAGATAAAGCCCTCACTCATATATCGCGGCCGAAAATCCGTGATCAACTACTCGAGGTTGGATTTGACGAAGGACGACAGGCTGAGGTCGTCGGTGGGCTGTCTGGCGGGTGGAAGATGAAACTCGAACTTGCGCGGGCTATGCTCTATAATGCCGATTTACTATTGCTTGATGAGGTGTGGCTCTTTAATTTCTCCCCACGGATAATTGACTGATCTATCCACAGCCCACCAACCATGTTCGCTAATTTCTCATATATGTATTGCATTAACTGAAACGCACGCAGTTGGATCGCGCGTCCGTCAAATGGCTAGAGGACTATCTCATTGCACATACGAATGTGACGTGCTTAATAGTCAGCCACGACTCAGGGTTTGGTTACCAACTCAGCTGGAATCCGCTGTAACTGACGCTGGACTTTAGATTCTTAGACAACATTACAACCGATATAATACATTACGAATCCAAGAAGGTCAGTTATGCATCACTGTGTGTGGAATCCTTCGTAACGTCTCTGGATAGCTGGTGTACTACCCCGGAAACCTTTCTCACTTTGTCGAGCAACATCCAGAAGCGAAATCATATTATACGCTTGCCGCCACCTCAGTTAAATTTTCTTTCCCACCTCCAGGTTCTCTTATGGGCGTTCGAAGCAATACCAGAGCCATCTTGAAAATGACTGATTGCACATTTACATACCCTGGTCGTGAAGCGCCAAGCTTAATTGGAGTTAGTTGCGCGCTTTCTTTGTCAAGGTCAGTGGGTCATAACATAATTGCTGTTCTCTCGACACAAACCTCGTTTTCAGCCGAGTTGGGATAGTTGGTCCAAACGGTGCTGGGAAGTCAACATTAATTAAACTACTCACTGTGCGTGCCTGTCGTCAAGTTTTGTGGGGCTTCATGACGAGAATTATACATAGGGCGAGACTATACCACAGGAAGGGGCGGTCTACAAGCACCCATCCTTGCGCATCGGATATGTTTCTCAACATGCAACTCATCACATTGGTGCGCATTATACATCTTCATGTGTTTTTCAATTGACGAAAAGAAATAACTGGCAGAACGCCATTTAGAAAAGACGCCTATCGGATACATTCAGTGGAGATATCAGGATGGCCACGATCGTAAGTTGCACTGCAGATAATACGTAAAATATCTGACCGTCATTTAAGGCGAGGTCCTTGAAAAGGCCACGCGTGTCTTGACAGACGAGGAGAAAGTCCAGATGGAAGTGGAATTTGTTGGAAAAAATGGCGAAAAGCGAAAGCTTGAGGTATGAATAGATTGTGGCCGCCTTATTACTTCACTGAAATACCACGATTTCACAGATGATCATGGGCCGCCAAAAGCTCAAGAAATCCCTTCGATATGAAATAAAATGGCGAGGACTGGACCATAAATTTAACACGTGGATTCCACGGGAACAGTTGCTCGAGAAAGGCTTCAGTAAGCTTGTAAGCCAATTTGACGACTTAGAGGCATCCCGTGAAGGTGCCGGTCAACGGGACACATCGGCGCATCTCGTACGAAAACACCTCGAGGATATCGGACTTGACGGAGACATTGCACAATATAACGAGATTAGTGGACTGTCCGGCGGTATGGTCAAATCGATATGCCTGATCCTGCTGGTTACCTGACGTACGAGTTGTCAGGTCAAAAGATCAAGCTGGTTATCGCTGCCTGCTTATGGAATAATCCACAGGTACGGAACTTTGACGTAATATGAGGGGAAGAATTTTTTACACACACATCGTAGATCTGTATTCTGGATGAGCCTAGCAATTTTTTGGATCGTGAGGCACTCGGCGGTCTTGCAGTCGCCATTCGTGAATGGGCAGGTGCCGTGGTATGTATACCCTGATGTTCATCGTGGAAGACATTTTCACCGATCGCCAGGTCATCATCTCGCATAACCACGAATTCGTGTCCGCATTATGTCAGTGGATTTGATTGATGGACACAGAGTGGACTTTAACGCGCTTATCCTAGGCCCTGAGATTTGGAATATCGATGGTGGTCGAATGACGCACAAGGGAAAGGCTGCAGTCGTGGAAGACGCATTCCTAGATGTCAGGACGCCAAAGGGGAGCGGGACAAATACTCCAGTGAGATCTCGGGTTCAAACGCCTTTGGCTTCAGCGCAAGCCACCCCCGTTGGCAGTGGTGCAGAGGATAAAGGCAATGGGCTGTCCATTCCGAAGAAGAAGAAGAAAATGACCCGGAACCAGATCAAAGCACAGGAAGAGCGGAGACGGATTAGAAAAGTGAACTGGCTGGCGTTCGGGGGACCAAAACCTGAAGACACGGACAGCGATTGACGGCGACTGTCGGTATTCTACACTACATCATAGAGTTCCGGTGTATTCGGTTAATCATAGATTGATATCGTAGAGACTTATCGCCATCTGATAATTATGCATGTTCCTTTAGAAATAAATAACTGAAGCATGAGTTGGCCTACTGCGACGCGTGGCTTCCTCGCAGTAGTACTGTACACGCAGTGTCTGCTTTTGAATTACTAAATCAGTTTCAGAATCCTCCCACTTATGGCGGTTTGCCACTTTTGCCTTTCTTGGCAACTTGAACGACTTCGTATAACGTGGTTGCCGCATTGTGGCCACACGGGAGCCACACAACATCTCCTCTGTCCTTCAAAAACACGTCCTTGCTTCCAGGTACGCCTACCCTTTCAACCCCGCATCGATCTGTATATCCTGTTATGTTTAAAGCCAGATTTGCAACCCCCACACTCACATTTGCGTCAACCTTGTCCCTGGTCCCGATACTCCGGGGGATTTCACTGCCTCAAGTATTCGCACACGGTTTCATGCAAAATGTAGTTGTCAATGGTGTCCAATATCCAGGTTGGAATCCGTTCAGCGATCCGTGAGTTCAAAT